TATACCTTTCAGCAATATAAAAACTAGAAAGCAGTTTCCTGAAATGATTGGGTTTTACATACTGGTTTACATACATATATGGCGGTGGCCATCATGGACTATGACATGGAAACCCAACTTTCGAAAATGACCTTTCTTACATGTAGCCACACACCAAAATGGATGTTGGTACCTCACTTAATTTTCAAATTATCATGCTCACAACATGCATGGATGGATGGAAGGTATTTCCACTTGTTTCTGTAAAAGATTAGTTGGCCATTTTATAATGTATAACTGGTGCTGGCCATCTTGGATTTTGATTTTGCAATGCAACTTTTGATAGGGACCTTTCTTACGCCTACATGCAGCCACATCAAAATGGAATTGGCATGTTGCTTACTTTTCCAAGTTATCCAGCTGACAATACACACAGACGAACAGATGGAGGGTATTGTCCAATTTTCCCTCTTCACTCCGCGATGGGAGACAAGTTGTTACCGAAATGCAACATCACTGATTGTCTCAAAAATATGTTAGTTGAAATCCTCTTGGAGCTGGTACAAGTGCTCAAGAGCTTAAAACTACTAAACTTTATTCAATTTAAAATTATACAAGTTATTTGGGCAGACAAGTATAGATCTTCTACAATTTACAGAAAAAAAAGAAGCTTTTGTTATAATCATAAAGAAATTCAATAGGCAAAACTATCCTGTAAACTGAAACTGATCTGTTGATTTGTCTTACATATTTCTATGTTAAAGCCTCTCAAGAAATGGATGCCTGTGCCACCAGTCTGTTCCTGTTATTTACAAATAAATCAAATTTAATGTTAGAAATGAAAGATAATCAAATACATTTTTTTGTAATTTTTTTTTTTTAGAGTTCTTGTCTTTTAAAAAAATGTAAAAAACAACAAGGCTTTGTACTCAGTCTTACACTTTTGATGAGCAATGCATTAGAGTAATTTATAATGTGCTAAAATGATTCTTTTATTAAGATGCAGCAAATAAAACCATTTAAAAACACTTGCTAAAGACTTAGAAGAAATAGAAATGTTAGAATATTGGTTGAGTTGTAATAGTAAAAATGTTTCACAAAATATAGCAATGCAACGTCTGCAGAATAAACAAGGCCAGACTGGCTGCTTTTCTAGGAGATAACATCCAAAATGCACTCTGTGTATTATCTGGACAATCCAAACAAAAGGAAAAAGTTGCGTTTCTTAAAGGACACATGAGAAACAAGATCCAAACACTGCAACTTCCACCACTGGTCAAAATTACATCACCAGAGGGACTTTTCAGTTCAAACGCAGAAAAACAACAAGAAACAGTAGCACAAAAATGTAAACAGATTACACCATTTATTCAATAGAAAGTTACTGCTTCATCTTTCATTTGTCAGAAGTTCTGCTGAATACATATTGTTTCCTTTTTTAAACTAAGGGGAATATTTATCTGTTTATTTACATTTCTCCTCTGCTCATAACTCAGACAAGACATAAATAAATAACCCAATACAAATAAACAAAAAAATATGTAAGTGCCTTTGGGAATAAAATAAACCTTTTAAAATCTGGGAGTAAAACTCTAATCTTTAAGCTCCACAGCAGTCTGTTTTTAAAGAGAGATAATTAGTTGCTTTGATTTTATTTGGATCACTGTCCAGTTGTAAATGCCCATGTGAAGATAATTTATACAGGAAAACTGAAAACATACAGAAGGTGAGGCAGTTAGAAAACATTTCCTTGTTATCTAGTGTGAAAGTGATTTTTTTCCACTCTCTTTCCTCATCAGCTTGATCGGAGAGCAGCCGAGCAGAGGCACCAGGAGATGATGAGCGATGGCACTGGATCAAGTTAAAAAATGGCAGAAAAGCAAATGTTTCATAAACTTGCAGCAAGACTGTTTGTTCAGTGGATGAGCACATGGTGGCTATAGTTTCACTGCATTAGTGTCCATCAGCTTTGTTTTGATACGTCATCGAAAAGACAATTTATGAAAGCATTTTTAATAATTCACACCAGTTGAATAGTGTTTGTTAAAAAAAAGGATAAATAAAACCGGTTTATACACTAAGAAATAACTTGACTCATGACTGCCTGTTTAGTTTACCTGCAAAGTGGCTATATTATGGATAAACCGTTAGTGGAAAAAAGAAAAACAAAAATGCCAAACAACTCACAATTGTTGTTTTGTTTTTTGAATGTCCAGAGGACCAGATTTAACTTTTTTAGATTTTTCTACCTGGATTACTGAGCATGCATCAGGAAACACTCTCTCTCACATACACACAAAAAAACTGTTTTTTAAATTTTTTGAACACTTAAGACAGTAAGTTTTCTGAGACATTATTTGACCTGAAGTTAGGCCTGTTACAATAACAAGTTCTGCTGGGCGATTAATTGTCTCAGAAATTATTGTGATAAATGATAATATTGTTTGAAATTTGACAATAATTAGTAATTATTGTCAAACCAAGGTTTTTTCCCCGAGGTTGGCCTGTTAGCTTAGCTGCATTTAATGATCCAAAAACAGGATTTGGAACGGTTTAAAGCGATTTTAAAGAGAAAAGAGAAAGAGAGGGGTCAGTGAAGAGCCCCGGAGTTGAGCCTTTTGTCATCCAGTGTCTTCAGCAGAAAGAGAGAGACATGAAGAAATGATAAAGCCAATAAATGAAAATGAGGTCAATAATTTTCATTTATCATGCAATTAATTGATTTATTGTTTATTACGACAGGCCTACCTGAAGTTATTTAAAGTGTGTGCTTTAAAGGTTTTCATCAAGAGAAATTAAAAAGTAGCATTCATTGATGTATTCATTTATTTATTCATTCAATGCATCACCTTGCATGCCAACATTTTTAACAAAAAGCATCTCTATTTTAGGGGGAATAGGTATTTTTTTTAAAGTTTAGGTTTAGTCAAGTATTGAATATATTCAGAACAATGTTTAAATAAACGTAACGTCCAGTGACAGAACCATAGCGCTGTGTATGAATGGGTGAGTGGGAGGCAAATTGTAAAGTGCTTTGGATAAATAAATAAAATTGCAGCCCATTTAACAGTCCATAACCTAAAATAATCTAATGGGAACAAAAACCTGGAGCCAAAATGTTCCATTTGTTAGAAAGCCTGCAATGCGCTTGCGAGTAGAGAACATCTCTTTTTCATATGTGTCAAGTTCAACACGCCTCTCGCAGTTTGAACCATCTATTGTAGAAATATATGTTTTTGTTTGAGAGTGTGGTTCTGATCTGTGTGAAGCTTGCAGCTTTATCTGTCCATGAGCTCAGAACCCCCCAAAATTCAAACATATCTGTGTGTTTTACAGTGGTGACTGAAATGTGGTACAGTAGTCTCTCGCTACTTCACAGTTCGTTTTTCACAGACTCGCTCTATCACGGCTTTTCAAAGTAAGATTGGACATGACACACAATGCAGTTGCAGGTGGCAAAGAGCAGCGGAGGCAGGGAGCTGAAATTATGACATTCTGTGCTCTTTTAGAGTGTTTGGAGTTTAGAAACATTGTTTAGAATAATGCAAGAGTATGGGAAGGGTTTAAAACACCTATATACTTAAATAAACTACTTACTACTTGTACTACTATCCCTACTTTGCGGTTTTTCACTTATTGCGGGACTTCAGGGTATGGATTCCACGTGATAAACGAGGGACGACTGTAAGCGTATCTCTGAGAACTGAAAACGATAGCACTGGGATTCAGGGCTCAATTTAAAAATGTTTCAGATGTCTTTAAAAATCCCATCTTAAGCAAAACCAGTTCCTGCCTAAAAAAGTTTTAAGGCATGACATCATTTTTAATTAATTAGTGCACCTTCAACATCTTGACAATACTAGCAAAAACAACAGGGTGTGAAAATTATGTTACTAAATGTTTATTGGCATCAGCCAATCCAAAATATACACACACCTGCTGTACACATTGTTTAACAAAACAATAATTCAAACTTCAATATTTTTATGCCCCTCTGATCTTCTCTGTCCTGTTGTGGATCTGCAAAATGTGGGGTCTGGTCAAATAGGTCATTTTTACTACCGTAGCTGCCAAGGCTTACAATCCTGACCCAATTAATTAATGTTTTACAAAAAACTGATAATTTACAACAAAAAAAATCTCATCTTCAGTCTCTTTTATTGTTGCACCCCAACAAGCCATGTCAGAACAAATAGGACCAATTAAATCACTTGCTTCTTACTTAACAGGAGCACTGAAGAGAACTAGTTCACATATTTTCTGTCCATCCATTATTTTTTACCCGCTTCTTCTTTTTCGGATCACGGGTGTCACTGGTGCCCATATTCAGCAGTCACTGTGTGAGGTGGGGGACACCCTGGACAGGTCGCAAGTCCATCACAGAGACACACAGAGACAAACGAGACTAACAGCCATTCACTCTCATTCACACCTAGGGACAATTTAGAGTTACCAATCACTTTTGCTTTAATGGTTTTGGCTTAAAAAAAAGAGGACAAATGAGATCACATACATGTCTTAGGTTAATCTTGATGGTGTGCTAAAATGAAAAAAGACAAATAAAAGAATGCAGTTCACCGATGATGGAATGAATACTTTGTGTTTTTCTGAACAAAGTTTCACAGATGTGTCTCCATGATTCTTTGAGTCATCCCAGTCATTTTGTCATGTTTAAAACATGTGCTCCAGCTTCTCGGAGAAGGTTGTTTGGCCCCTTTGGAAGTAGGTTAGCTGCCTCACGTTGCTTTGAAAAGTCCCATGTAATGGTAGCATTAGTTTGGCTTTTTTTAAAGATGAGACACACTGCTAATTGACATTCAAGATATGTGATTCATCTGTGCTGAAGCTTTTGTCATGGAGATTTAGTTACTTCAAAGTTCTTTTTCATGTAGTTTTTGTGTGTGTGTGTGTGTCTTTGTATATGACCTGTAGGTACTGCAGTCAGCCAGAGAGAGAGGTGGATTCATGCTTCCATAAGGCATGTCAAAAAGCCAAAGGGGCTCCATAAAATGTTTTGGTACCTTGTATGAGCATGACTCCTGCTCCTCGCAGTCAGAGTCACTGTGGTAAGGGTCGTCAGTGGTGGTCCAGGCCAGAGCCCCCTCCCTCTTCATGAAATCACAGATGGGAACATCTCTGGAAATCTACACAAGATAAAGCACAGCAGCAAGTCGCACAGCTACTTAAAGCTGGGAAATGTGATGAATTCATTGGCTACTAGTAACCAACCGAGTCCATCAGTGCTAGGTTAACCTAAAGAAATAATGTTGATGATTTATGGGATTGTATTTTTATGGTTTAATAGTTTCCCTTATTCAGAATTTAATTGTGTAAATAATAAACCTATACAAGGCCATTTACGGTAATTCTTGCTATAAGGAGTTGAAGAACTTGTCTGTGTGCAATTATTTATCTGAACTCTTTAATACAATTTTTTTGAAAAAAAAAAAAGTCGAACAAGAGTGTGTAAAAGTATTACTGGAGTTTGATGTTTAAAAATGCAAGATTTGACAATTCTAAAGAGAAATGTTATCTATGTATAAAGGCTATAATTCAAAGCATCCTACTTTTGATATCACATTCTTTTGTAGATATAAACAAATGGAAGGATTTTTTTCCTAACCACAAAATGCTCGAGATTTATTTTAAACTTTAAACAAAATGTCATTTTAATGAAAAGTAAAATAACATAACAACTGCTATGGGAACAGAGGAGGGCCATAAAGTTGATTTGTTGGAGAGTTTTTGTCCGAATGAAGATGAAATTGAGAAGTGGATGTGCAGCGCCTTCGAAATGGCCAGCGATGCTCTGAACAACGGAGAGGTGCCTGTCGGATGTCTGATGGTCTAAGAAGACAAAGTGGTGGGGAGAAGAAGGAATGAAGTCAATGAAACTAAAAATGCAACTCGTCACGCTGAGATGGTCACCCTGGACCAGGTACTGGACTGGTGTCGTCATAGCAACCTGGACGTGGGGCATGTGTGCGAGTGGACGGCTCTGCAAGTCACTGTGGAGCCATGCATCGTGTGTGCTGCAGCCCTGTGCCTCCTCATGATCCCCGTGGTCGTGTACGGCTGCAGAAATGAGCGTTTTGGGGGCTGCAGATCAGTTCTGGACATCTCCTTTGCAGACCTTCCTCACACAGGGACAAAGTTCAAGTGTGTTTCAGGTCACAGAGCAGAAGAAGCTGTTGAGATGCTGAAAACTTTCTACAAACAAGAGAATCCTAATGCTTCAAAAACCCAAAACAAGGAAGGACTGACCCCAAACAAAGAAATTATTTTATATAAATTTGTTTATGTTCAGTTTTCTAATAAAACCACTTTATTTATAAAAAAAAAAAAAAAAAAAAAAAAAAAAAAAAAAAAGGGCGGCTGTGGTTGAGTGGTTAGAGCAGTCGTACTCCAATGCAAGAGTTGGGGGTTAGAATCCACCAGAAGTCACATGCTGAAGTGTCTTTGGGCAAGACACTGAACCCCTCATTGCCTCCGATGTGTGTCCCATCGGTGTGTGAATGTGATAAAGCTCCGATTAGTCTCGTTAGAATGATTTCTTCATTTAGCCTTGTAGAGATCTGGTAGAGTGCTGTGTGAATGGGTAAATGAGGACACAGATTGTAGTGTAAAGTGCTTTGAGTATCTTGATCAGATAGAAAGGCGCTATATAAATACTGTCCATTTAGATCTTATGAGCTTAGTTTTTATTTAATTTGCTTCTGGTTTAAAACTAAAATAATTAAAAATATTTTTTCCTTGAACAAGCTCTACCATCATTCTCCTAGCTAGAAATTGTAATACCATGTATTGAGCATGCTTCAGTGTAATACCATGTGTTGCTTTGTCAACAAACTACATTGAACACAACGTAGACTGCTGAAAAATGTATTGTAACGAAATGTAACAACTTCAGCATGAGCTATGGGAGACTTGACTTGAACCTAATTTTAAATATTGTTATAGATCTACTGATATTAATTCAAATTAAAACAAAGTTCAAAAAAGAAAAGATCATAAAAAATAAAATTCAAAAACAAGGTGGTGAATGAAGAGCAAGAGGCAACATTAAAAATGTATTTATAGATGAAAAGCATCCAATTTTTAAATAAGAAACACAACAGAGGCTTAAAAAAGTGCTGTTTTAAAATAGATAGGTTATAAAAGCACAACTTTGAGAAATCCTTACTTCTTCCATGATCAGGATGCCACAGCGGACTAGACTGTCAACAGCATCCAGAGCGAAACTTTGAGACGACTGACAGGGCTGGAGAAAGGAGGAGAGTGAAAATGGGAAAAACGCAGCGGTTTAAAAAAAAAGGGCAAAAACAGCTTCAGCCCATCAGCTATCCTAGAAATACAGAGGAAGACAGCTGACAGAAGCATGAGGTTTGGAGTAGAGATGTTGCAAACATCATAGGGGAGAATCAGAGGCAGAGATGGGAGGGATGAGAGAAGGGGGAGATATTTTTGGGTGAGGAATGGGGCGTGAAACAAAGTTACAAGCTACGGAGACAAGAAAAAGCAGCTGCTGAAATGAAAGGTGGGCAAACAGAAAAGGAAACGTATTAGTGGCTCAGATTCAAAGCCCTTGAAGTCAGCCAGATGAAGCATGTACGTGCACGCACACACGCATACACACAAAAACCTTTCTCTGGCTGAGATAGAGGCAGCAGAGCAGGATGAATGGTTGTTCAACTCCATTAAACATCCATTGAACGAGACACACAGGGTGTGTGTTTGTGTGATAGGAATACAAACTCACTGGCATGACGCCTGGAGGCAAGAGATGGCAAAGCTGCAGGGCTTTCTCGACTAGCTCTGACTGACCGAGCACGACGCTAAACTCCATGTCACCTTTGACCTCTTTGCCGTTAACGCCGTCAGTCCTCACACTGCTGTTAAGGCCAGTGAAGACGACCTCGCAGATCATGGCCAACACTGCGCATGCTGTAAACAAAAGCTGTGCATTACAGTAGGTCCAAGCACATTTAAGAAAACAGAAGCTAAAAAAGGTATATTTTGCAGCTCAGCGTGTCAAGTAAACTTTAGATGAATTGGTTGATGAGCTTTCTACGGTTTATTATTTGTAGTTTATATTGTTTTTTACTTCGAGTCACAGGGAAACCCTACCCATCATTTATGTCTAAACATAATTTTCATATGAAGAAAGCTAACGGTTCAATTGAAACTAATTTGAAGTCAGAGCAGATTGCACTTCAGGTCTCTTTAAGGCAGAAACAGGGTTGTTCACGCTTTCTGCATCCTCTCTGCTGTGACAATAAATTTTGTCATCTGTACCTGTCTGTCAAGGTCCACCAACCCCTCAGTGGATGAAAGTCCAGATGTTTATGACTGTGCTAACTGTACACACTGTAGTACACCACTCTGTCTAAAATGGTGGTGCCAACTTACAAACATACTGCGAGTCAAACCCCATGTCAAACAAGGATGCTTGTTTTGAGGAAATACTGAGTAAGGGGACTTGCTGCTATCAACATCTGGAAAATGCATCACTCAGGGACCACAAGAACACAAAAGTTAACGCTTATGTGTGGATATATTAAACAGGGGCTTCAGAGCAGTACAAAACTTAGTGCTTTAATGCTCTCCTTGAATCAAAGAGAAGAAATAGCCTCCTGTAAGCCAAAACTTTGTTATAATCTTCTCCAACAATTGTTAAACAGGCCTCCAGTAGCTATGGCGTCATCCCAGTCTGCCTGTTGGGATGATAATTAAATTTAGCCAACAGACAGCTCTGGGCTGAAGGATGAGTAGATACAGGAAAGTGGTAAGTATGGTAAGGATGTGGGATTCTGGGCTCTCTGCCATTCAGTGATTATCATAAATTAATGATGCATATTATGCTGTGTGCCAAACCCTGCTACTTGAAAGAAGCACGTAGACTTAAACCATTGCCATGCATTATTTAAATATCAGCCAGTAAAACTTAAACTGTGGGGAATAAAACAGCATGGCTTTGCTTGTAAACACAAGTATGCCTGTTAGTGATGACACTCTGACCTTTTAGTACAAATCTCATTGGTGTCTGTGGTAAGTTGTTAGCTATGATAAGTGACATCCAAATGTTTCTCTATTATTCACTGTATAATAGATTTCTTATTAGGAAGAAAAACAAGCTTATTATGCAATGTTACCTGGTAGGTTTCATTGAACATTATGGATCAGTCGAAACAACAAATACAGTAGTTCCTCGTTTATCGC